GCTACTGGGCAAAGAAGTTATTAAAGTAGCACAATATCTCAGTACCACCCGCAATATTCAATTCAGTTGGATACCAGCTCATAAAGGACATAAAAGAAACGAATTGGCCAATTCTTTGGCCAAAATGGCTGGTACTCTCAAGACACAGGATACATATACCAGGTTACCAAAATCAACACTGAAAAATTCCTTAAATGAAAGGGCACTACTTGAATGGCAGGAAAATTGGAATAATTCTACAACGGGGAGACTTTGCCACCAGTTTATTCCCTCTATTACTAATCACATCAAGGCTAATTACTACAAACCTAGATCCGAAACCACCCAATGTTTAACGGGGCACAGCAATTTTATGGCCTACCTCTACCACTTTAAGAAGAGAAACACTAATAAATGCCAGTACGACAATAATAGTGTAGGAGATGCCATTCATTTTATATTCCACTGTGAATGATATAAGGATCAACGCATTCCATTCTATAGGGAATGTCTTCAAGAAGGTCATAATTGGCCACCGACACTACAAAACATTTTTGATAAGAAAAATCTCTGGAAGTGTTTTGAAAGGTTTATTGAAAGCACTAGGGCTCTTCTGCCAGACTTCTACAGGAAAGAAAAAATTCTTGAGAATGAAAACAAGAACAGACAAGTTGAGCAGGAAGACAGTGAAAAATCAGAAGAGTGATGTTATCAGCGATTGATTGATCGGCCATGTAGAATTCTTCTGTACATAGTTTAGTTGTCTAGTATTAGTTTAGTTTTAGATTCTAGATGAAAAAAAAATATTCCCATTTATATGTATTGGGTCCTCACGTACTATGTAATCTGTATTATTATATCATAGTAAGCTGATATTTACATTCTCTCTGTGTGTTAAAATTGTAACCAGTTCTTAATGTTATTGTAACATTGTAGTGTTCAAGGTTAGTTTATACCTACTCATATGTAATGGGTTTTGCATTTTACTGTCACCGGACCATTTCTCGTAATTGTTAATACTGTATAACGGTCTTGTCAACTTTTGTAATTTTGGTTATTAATAATTTCCGATGCAGTGCTCTGAGGTCCTAATAACCTTTTTCAGCATTACTTTTTCCCCTTTTCCTTTATATTTCTCCCTTCAGAACCTTTCCTTCAACCTTTTCTTCACTCCTTTCTCTTCGTAGTGGGCTAAGTTTGCAAAAGCAGACAGACCTTCCTTTCCTCCTTTATTATTATTATTATTATTAATATAAGGATGTTGAGGAATGTTTCATTGCCTTCCCATACAACCATGATCAAACAAATCTAGAGTATTAACAAAACATTTATGGAGAATGCCTTAATGCTAAACAGATAAAGATGTGGAATGTCTAACCATGGCAGGAAATATGCAATAGTTAAAAATCTAAAACCTTTTTTGTACAAATTCTGTATTGGTGTTATTGTGTTGTCAGATATTTTGATGTATCATTCTTTTATGTTTATATACAGTATCTAGTTATGTTTTTTTTTTTTATTAATAGATAACACTACTTGTAAATCCAGCAAATAGAATGTGGACAAAATTAATTGGTATATAAAAATTTAGTCAATATTTTGGGGTGGGATGTATGACATTTTCTAAGTTAGAAGCATGTTAATGGAACTGCAGAGTTTTGTAGCAATTGTCAAACAGCCTAGGAGTGTATAGCAAACAAACAAACATTCTCATTTATAGATATAGATAAATGCAAACTTAAATATTCAATTTTTTATTTCTACTAATTTGTTATTGAGTCACCCCTGATTACAAAATATAGTCTTGTAATCAGGAATTAACTTATAATTTTTGTGGTCTTAAGCTACAACATATAAAAGGCTCCTCACCTCCACCAAATACTATAGTTATATATATAAAAATGTAAAACCCTAAGTTATGTAGACTCATAATGTGAAGCTGCAGCTTGTTTAAGTTATGTGCAAATCTGACCTTGCTTGTAATGTAAAAATTGTTTTCTTTAAATCTTCAAGAATATTAGAGAGCAATGCATTCATGAAAAGTTTTCATCATTGAAATAAATAAATAATGTTTGCTCATAAAAGTTAAAATACATTAAATAAAAATAGTTTCTGAAATGAACCAGATAGAGTCAAAAATATTAATGTGAGTGCTTTCTTTTAAATTTCAGTAAAATAGACATTTAGAAATTTATTAATCAAAGTATAAACCATTAGTGATATAATTTCAAATTAGTGTTTTAAGCCTACTTTATAGACCATTATCAGGAGTTTTTTAATATCAAATTATAGAACATTTGACAATTATTTAAAAATTTGGAATAATCAAATTTAACTTTACTCTAGGCTAATAACTTTTGATAGGAGAGTTTGGAGAAAAGTAGTGGATGGTGATGATAAAAAAGTTTGATTTTTTACCATGTTGACCTGTACACCCTCTGGTTATCAGCAGGAAAGGATGATGATGATGATGATGATGATGATGATGATAAATAAAATACAATTCATGCAAAAAAGGATATAATTAAAAAAATTATAGTTATTTAATTACTGTGACAATGATGTAATGGGAAGTAGATGCAATGTATTAATACTGCCACAGGTTGCTCAGAGCACTCATGTGCATTCAGTTGAAAGTGTTACACTGTAAAAATTACATAAATACTTAATTTTCTACATCTAACAATTTTGGATTTTTTTTTCTGAGAGGTATTTTCTTAATTCTAATAAGTGCCCACCAGTGGCCAAATGGATAGAACTACCTAACACTGGTAGTTGTTCATGAGTTTGAGCATCACCAATGGGTTTGATCATGTGGAATTTTTTGGGCGTTTTTTTTTTTTTTTTGTTAGTGACATCTAAATAAGGCCAGTTTCCCATAAAAGTTCTCTCAGGAGGCATTCTTCGGCAGAATTGAAAATATGGTATTTTAAAAAATTTAAGATATATTTTTAATTCCTGTCTACTTGATCAATGAAATTTTGTTATTTTGTGAGGCTCTGGAAATGCCTTGGAATCACACAATTCATTAATTGTGTGATTCCAAAGAATTAAAATTCATTAATAATGTAAATGATATGTTTTATGCCATAAAAGGGAATATTAATGATAAATGTAAAAAAAAGAAAAGAAAAGAAAGACATTTCTTAGAAAATAGACAAAAGTAAAATAGACAATGTAAGTCCTAAAATCAACTATTTCTGCTTGGGATTGGATTAAATGTTGAAGTTGACTCATCCCACAATCTCAGTTCAGATCTCATTACACTTCTTAATGAGTGACAACCATTTAGAAAGTGAGATGAGGAGAGATAACCAACCAGGATAATTGATCAAAGGTCGAAATTAATCAAAAACTCAGAATTCAAGGGCAAAGAAGTCTTTCTCTCCCTGTCATTCCAGATTTCTCCATATCTTTCCAAGTTTTCTCCATGTTTCTCCAAGTCTCCTCAGGCTTCTCTGAACATCATCCTTCGAATTCACTGGTACTAACTGGTTGCTGACTTTCTTTATTTCAATGTGCAATTCACTAAACAAAGGATTTCACTCCTCTGTGGACTGCTGAAGACATTACCCTGGGATATTTAACACAAAAATACCTCTACTGCATTTCTCAACTTCAACAAGAGGAATGAAGGATCCATAGGAATTCAACTCTAATAGTATTGTTGTAAGCCACATTTTTATGTATAAATAAATCGGTATGATATGTTTGTAACTGTTGAGTCTGACTTGGTGTCTATCACACCCACATATGAATTGGCACTTCTTTTCCATTTTGACTTTTAGCGCAACTTTGCAACCTCACAATTTCATACCATTCAAGTATTGCGATAAGCATGACAATCACAGACTCTTTATTTGGTTTTTGTTTAATGTTGTTTGTTCTTATTTTTTTTGCCCAGGAAACAACTGGCTTATCTGCTAGTGTACAATATAATTAAAGTTATTAAAATTATAAAACAAAATAAATCAAATGATAAAAATTTTTAAAATTACATAATTACAGTTGACAGTTGTGAAAGAGACGGCCTTACCAATACGTATAGCCCGAAGAAGAAGGGGGAGGGGGAGAGGAATGGGGGAAGAGAAGGAAAAGTAAAAGGGATCACATGAGGACAGCTGGGAACCAAATAATAGAGGTAACAATCACAATTGCAAGACTGACGCAGCAGTCCAGATATTACATAGGAGATACAATAATCAAAAGTACATAGCACAATTAAACAGAAAATATACATTACAGTGGGTTGAACATATATATGCCCTTTACAATTAGCCAAAATAAAACTGTACAGAATAAAGCAGATCTCGATGTTGGCTTGCAGATGTTAATAACATAAACTAAGGCCGCCTGAAGTCCTGAGTGAAGAATCGCGGCGCTAAGATAGAGACCATGTGATAGAGAGGTTGCCCTCCACACACTCAGTTAGCTGAGCACCTTAATTTGGTGAATAAAGTCATTGAATTTTATGAAAATGTCTTTGTTGCTGAGAAGAAGACTTGCCGGACATGGCCACACTTCGTTCTCCTGCATCACAGCTTGTATCAGTTGTCTTCGTTTGTTCTCGTACAGAGGGCAGCGGAACATCATGTGGTCGCTGTCGTCCCATTCATTAAGCGAGCAATGGCATTGCCCATTCCCTTTGCCTAGGAAACAGTCCAGATAACCTTTAAAGTTTCCGTGGCCCATCATGATTTGCGTGAGTTCATAAGAGGGGTGAAGTATTACATAATTACAGTAGTTTTATATATTTAAACAGAATTTTGTGATAAATATATATTTGCAAAACATTTACATTAAAAAAATAATAGTGGTTTTTAAGGATCTGTTTCACATTGATTGTTTTTATTTTTCATTCAGTGATTTTAATGAACCTATTTATTGTGTAAAAGAAGGGATGAATATACAAATATATAAATGCATGTGTACTTTTTATTTCTCTATAGATATATATATATTATATTTACAAAAGTTTATATAAAATATGTTATAAAATAATTTATAAATTTATATTTCAGTTTTCTTCCCTGGTAGATGAGACATCACAACACCTGTTAGAAGACCTCAACTTGGCATTACCCAACTCTTCCAAATGTGCGGATCAATTATACTAACCTCTACATTTTCCAATATGTTGTATTTCTGATACGACACTTTAATCTTTCCTTCATCTCAGAGTGTAATCATTTTACTGAATTCTTCCTAAGAAAGTTAAATCCTACTCTATATAAAACAATTTATAAAAAGTACATATCAGAAAGAAGGCATCTGAGATGTCTATTGTTATAAAATGTTTTCTTAATTCTCAAATATATATATATAAAATATATATATATACACAAATATATATATATATATCTTTGAATAACTCAATAATTTAATACTTTAGAAATGTTTGTAAGTTTCTTAGAATTTTATTTCCTTAAATGAATCAGAAAGAATTGCAGTTATATATATATAGCATATACAATACATAAAAATCTTTGGTGATATTATAGCATTTGATTGTAATAATGTTAATGATATCTATGCTTTCCATACTTTATTTGAAATGAAGAAAGTACTAATGTATTTTATAATAATCTAAACATATCTATTTAAATTTCAATTAAGTTGTAAGCATAGATATCATTAACAAAATTTAATGAAGGTTTATGTATTATATATATATATATATATATATATGTATGTATATTCATAGTTTGAAAAAAAAATAACAATTTGAAAGTATGGACAAAAAAAATATATATATTCAATGATCTCTTAAACATATTTATCATGTGATGTATTGTACATCCATTTTCACAGAAATCATATTTTATCATTCACATTTTGTGATATAGTACAATTCACGATATTTAAGTTACATAGCTTTGAGATAAATATTTTGTTACTCAAAACATAAAGATAACCAAACCGTAACTTGAAAAAAATAATATTGGAAATTCAATCTAACTTTACAAAAAGGTTTTAGAAAGCAATAACTATATGCAGGTGAAATCCAAGATAAAATATAGTGCACAAATCTAACAAAGTCATATCAAAATAAAAGAATTATTCTCATTCTCATTAACTGTGCATACTTGATGCCATGTTAAATATTTTGTAAAGTTAAGATTAAATAATGTTATCATGTTATTGTTGTTGTTGCTTCAACAATTATGTAAACAATTTGTTATTTTAATTGAATTTAATTAGGTTTCAGAAAATAATTCAGGGAAGTTTCAAAAACTTAAACCTGCTTATGTATATGTTGTTATGTTCTCTACACTACAATCTGTTAATGACAGTTTGTGTTAATAATCCATCCACTGTCAGTATACAGAATTGAAAGTTGCCATTAGTTTAGTTTTGCAAATAACAATAGTGAATATTTAATATTTTTTGTTTCTTGTAAATACGATATATCATTAATCACAAAAAAAATTTGCTCACATTTTTTTTGCAACATTTAGTCTTTATGGTAAATTATTCTATAATGTTTGAAATATTTTTTCTTGTCAGATAAACAAATTAAAGAAAGTATGCATTAATGTTGAATCGAATGATGATAAGCAAATTGAATGGTTTCTAAACTTTTAAGAACCAAGACTGAAGTCTTCCAGAGGTGTTTGGGATGTAGAAATGGTTTGTCATTGAATGGCATTACAAATGTAATTCAGATGGTTTTCTTTCCATATCTTAAAATTCCCAATGCTTAATCTTTAAACAAGAAGTAAAAACAAAACAAAAAAACACTTCTTTGCTCATACATAGTAAAAAAAAAAAAAAGGAAAAAATAGTAATTGACAATCTATGTCACAATTTCCCTAAGTGCTTTTACGCAGTACTTTTGATTATAGAAACTGCAGGCATAAATTTGGGAAGATTGTAATGTCATCTTATTAGCAGTTAATATTCCCATATATATATATATTTATCACTCTCTTAAATTCTTCAAATAATGCAGTGGCAATATCAATTTCTTCCACTGTCAATTCTTCATTTGTTTTCATAGATATAATTGTGATATATATATATATTATATATACACATATATAAAAAATTATAAATGTATAAGTATTGTGTTTGATTTCTCACCCATATTTCATTGTATACTTATTAGAAAATGCATGTGATGTTGTATCGTGTGTTTCTCATATAGTTAACCTTATTACCTTTATAAGCTCATCCATTATTTGATGTGGTTCTTATCACCAAGTTTGAAGCTATGCCAAGCAATACCCAGTGTATTAGGGTTGTTTATTGACTCAACCTTTTGTTTTAACTTACTAACGGTGACAATGATAAAACAGTTTTATCTTCGTGTGACCAATTACAAATTGTAAGCAATCCACATATCAAATTTGCCAATGTCAATTTATGGTAGATTACTATAAAGTATATGATAATTAATATGCAAATATTTGGAGTTGTCCAAAAGATATAGATTTTTTTAAGGACCAACCATTGTATCTATGCTTCTGTCTTGATAGAAAATATAGTATGTATTATTGTCGAGTATATACAGTACGTCATATGGCTTCCATCTCCCATTGTCAAAAAATTCAAATGTTAATATTTATATAACTCAAAATTGAAGACTAGTAATGTATTTATGATGATTATCTTGTTATACTTTATTACAAAAAAGAAAAAAAAAAAACAGTCTTCAAACGGAAACGATGGTGAATGTTATACTACCATTTCTAATTCGGTCGGAAAAATTCTAAATTGTCTTTTTTATGTTGTTTGTTAGTTAAGGGAAAAACGTTTGAGAGTGACGATCTCAAAAAAAAATATATTCATATAGGCCTATGCCATCAACTACTGCTCACAGATGGAGATGTGTTAAAAAAAGAAAAAAAAAAAACTTTATACTCTTACTTTTAATCACAAAATGATATATAAAATATATTTTAGAATATTTTGATTCTTCCACATTTTTATAAAATCTTGTTTATTGCTTTGATGTCTATAAGAAAATTTCTTCATAATAATTTTGACCAGACAATACATTGGATATTGAGAAATAGAGCTGGGTATGAATGTTTGTGATGTATATGCTGTGTGTTCACTGCCCACAGCATTTGTGGGACTGTGATAAGAACAATCAACAGTTGTTAGATTTTTTGATCCACGAGCTTATTCTTGGATGTATAAAACAAGGCAATGGTTTTATTCCCATTGTATATCGGGTCTTGGGCAATGCTCAAATGCGAGATATTTGAACAATCAATTGTGCACATTACTAGAATTTTAAAGTAATTTAAAAAGTAGAAACATTTGCACTTAGCATATCATATTCTTTCAGTTTATCACATATCATGTTTACTGTGCATTTTATATATATTGCCACTTTGCAGCTCATTTGTGAAGTCAAATTATATGATGCAGTTACCGAGTGCCAAGTTTCTCTGCCTTTTTAATATATCTCGATATTTTGCACACTAGTCAACAACCGATAGACTTACTCGCAAATTGAAATTCTTAAATTAATGTTTTTAAGAGACTAATAATTTCGAGTGTGCATGCCAGTGTGAATTTTTTCATAATTTTATGTAAAATGGTTCCAATTTTCATAGCATTCTCAAATCTTTAGCAATAGTTATATCTCTAAATATTCCTTTATTGGTAATTTTGTGTTAAGAACATTTTTTAAAATTGTCATTTATCCTTATTATTGGCCATTTTTACAATCACGAAGCACTAAATGCAATAAGTCATTATACACTTAACTAATGTACAATCTACTTGTAGATGTTTAAAGTAAACAGTACTAAGCATGTTTTTAAGAATGTGCAAATATTGCTGTATTCTGATGCTAATGGTTGATAATAAAATTGTTGTGACATTTTACCAAGTTGTTGCATTTTATTTTACATTTTTTGTTAAAACATCCATAAATAGAAATATTCTAAAGTACACAAATTTCTAATGAAAACACAGTTTTTGTAATTTATAAAATACATGGGGTGATCTAAAAGTAACTTTGAGGTCTACATTTTAAAAACAAAAGCATTAAATAGTTAATGATGGTCCAAATTATTAACATTAAATGGTTAACATGACACGAGTGCAGGATAGCTGTCATTGTTTGAAAATTCTATATCACAAGGTTAGAAAAATGATCTCACAAAGAGCACCAATCAGTTGTTTGATATTTTTATGGACTAAAAAGATTCCTCCAGCTGAAATTCATCATCAGCTCATTGAGATGTGGAACAATGTTGTGTCCCATTAAGGTATCACAGAATTCTGTTAGATGTTTACAAGTGAAAAAGAAAATGAGTGATGAATGAAGAAAACCCATTGAATGAAAGTCACAGTGGGTATCCAAACTGCTTGACAACAGAAGTCAATGCTGCAAGAATTGATGAAGTGATCCAGAACAATAGGTTTTTGAGTATGTTATTTTTAGCTTAGCCTGTCATATTGTCACTATACAGCACATTATTCATAACTTATGATACAATAATGTCTGTGCAAGATGTTTCCAGATTCATTAATGTCTGATAACAAAACCTATTGAAAGATAACGTCTCAATTTCTTCGAATGTTAGAGATAAGAGCACAACTTTCTCCAGTAAATCGTTACAGATGGCGAGATGTGGGTCCACCATTTTGTATCTATTCAATAGTAGGCTGTCCATAATTTTCTTGATATCAAAACGGGACGAGGCGCCGCAGGTGATAAATACAGACCCTTTCTTATTAAAACTTCATCATGAAATGTAGATAGGTATTATTAACAATTCGTTAATACTTATTATGAATATTGATTTGGTGGTGTAAAAACAAAACGTAAATTTCTTTGCAAGTTTTATTTTCAAAAATTATTAAAAGTGATATTTTTATTACCATAAGATACCAAATTTGATAGTTAGGTTGATGTAGAATGTTTCCTAGAGTAAAACCGAGCATATTTTTCACATAAGTTCAATTTCTGGTCACTCAATTTTATCGTAAAACGTATCGCACTATAATTCGCAGTTTTGCTTTATAATTAGCATTTTTTTCATAGTTTCAATTTTTTCTTTCCATCATAGTGAATTCACAAGTGAAAATATTCTTTCTACAGAAGCTGTAGTTCCTGAAAAACAAAGGATTCATTTTTAATTATTAAACTCTTGGAATTCACGATCCTTTTCGTGCATTTCATTAAATATTTTGACTCATCTCAACTACATTGAATTTTTCTTCATTCAAATTCTTCAAGTGTTTGGATATTGTTGTCTTTATTAGCACCCATTGAACTGTCGAATTTCATCCGCTTTACATTCGTTGAAACTATTCCGTAAGCTATATTTCATGCCATTTCTTCCTCACTAGTATCCATTCAAATTTATGATGTTATCGATGCAGAATAAAAGTTTTCTAACAAATCATGAATTTGGAATACAATATATGAATGCGTTTAACCTAATATACAAACTAGAGCGTTAATTTTTAAATTTTCAAAAAACGGGATAAAAATGAAAATTTTACTAAAATTACGGAACGGTCGGGACAGAAGAAAAGATTATTTTATTATATACCATTCAAAACGGTACGTATTCATTGCGTGCGATGAGATTGGGCAGTAAGCATATAGAATTTTTTTTATTTTGATAATAACTTTAAAAAAATAATGTTAAGATGGTAGCATCTGCACGATATCAATACTTATACATATAATCTCAAATTCACTAATTTGTATTGCAGGACATTTTATTCGAAGTCAAACCTACAAAAACACGACCACCACCAAAATCAAAAGAAAACATTCAAACTCCACTCACCACGTGCTGTACATACATAACCGGCATGATTTCATTGTTAACAGGAAAAGTATGATGTACAGGGGCAAGACATTACTGAACTTAGGTGCAATGTGATCTGGCATTGTAATGATGTCACAATAAATAATTGCATGCTTTCATTTATATTACTTTTTACGTTTTAAACAGTGCTATATATATCAAGTTATTTTTTTACTAACCCGTTCTTCAATATGTTTTTCAGTTTTAGTTCACAAATTTATCTGTGGCAACGTTGTCTGTATATGCTTCCTTCACTTACCAGCTAAGACAGGAATTAGATCTGCTTACCTCTATTTCCCCGATGGATAAGATAGAATTTAATGGGATGTGTGTATGAACTTTACGATACATGGAGGCATAGCCTAATCCTTTCCTTGTTCATAGAAGCCACGAAAATCAAAGAATGTTTGTCCTTATACCAGGCGCGGAGTACAAAATACATTTATATTAGTGCAAAATTTGAGAAAAATTCGCATTTCTGCTATGAAAACTCAATAAAAATACTTTTACCGATGTTTTGCAGCCTATATTGCATGCTTATGCCTTCAGTACGTATGCTCAGCCTACCCAAAAGTCACCTTTGTGGTTTCCATTCCACAGAGGTGGCGTTTTGAGTATTTCAATCTTCTTTACCAAAAATATCTAAGGTTAAGGTTACAATATCTGCTGAAAGATTATGGCTACCATCTTTTAAGACTTCTTGGGTGTACTTTTGATGGTTTTTTTTTTTTGGTGACACTTATATACTTGAAAGAAGCTATTAAGAGAAAATATCCTGGACATTCTTCTCTTATATGATAATGCCAGACTACATACAGGAAATGCTATAGATATTTGATGGGAGGTTTTTCTGACCCCTTCTCGCTTTCACGTTTTTTCTGTATTTGAAGTATACTGTATATATGGCATTATTTCACTACTGACGAAGTGAAAGCTGTTGTAAACAAAATTGATTTTAATTTGAAACATATGCAAACTTCCATTCTGGCATTTTAATTGGCTTAAAAAATAATAATTCCTCGGTTTTCATTATTAAAGAGTTGCAATTTTTAATTTATTAACCTTAAAATATATGCTCCCCACCTCAGATTAGTAATGGCTTGCCCCTGCACATCATACTTTTCCTTTAACAATATAGTCGTGCCGGTCATCTATCTAACACCTTTCAAGAAAAACTTTTTGAATTGAAATTTCATATCTGATCTGGTCTTTCATCTATCTCCGTTCTCGAGATTAATTAAGGAAAGACGGACGGACGGACGACAGTGAGAATTTATAGGTCTACAATTTTTTCAAATCGTAGCCTAATAAGATAAAGAAACAACGAATTATTGTATTTTATTTTTATAATTATTTAATAAACATTGTATTGATTAAATACCATCAAATACAAAATATTAAATGTATATACATTTATTAAGAGGCATAGAACATTGATGTAGGAATAAAAGAAATTTTTAACATTTCGAAAATAAATATTAAGTGCGGAAGTATATGCTTGTTACTTATTATGAACTCCATGTACAGTATATTAAGTAAGTACAGTATTGTGTCTTGTCAGAGCTATTTCTCTTTCTAGTGGTGATTTTTAAAAAACTTGATGTTATTTTTTATTTACTGTTATCAGTTACTAAAATTATAAATATCGTTAAAATAGGCTTCAACACATCAAAATTGAATTTATTTATTTAATAAACAAATTAGTACATTTTATAAATTTCTTTAATGTCTGTTTCAGAAATTTTTATCAAATTTCGTTATTCGTAGGACTGTTTAAAACAAGCACCAAAAACGTAATCTGTTTCTCTTTCGTCATTTCTGCTCGGAGTTCCAACATTACTCTAAAATTTATATTAAAAATAAATTATATAAATATATATTAAAAAATTAAATTAAAAAAAATATATATTTTTTACTTACAGATGGATAATTATTCAGACATTCTTTCATCTACATGTGAAATAAAATTAATGTTATCGTGTTGCAATACGAATGCTTATGTTTCGGATAAGTTTAAATTAAAATTAAATAAATAATTGAATATTTTATAAACTTAAAAAAAATAATTTTAATCTTACATCTCCGAGATCTATTTCTTCCGAACAAGTAAAATAGGCCAGAGCGTCGTATATATTCGTTATCTCCTTCACCAATTTGATGCAGTTTGCAATGCGTAGATAATGCTAAAAATTCAAAACATTATACTAAAAACACCCCCCAAAAATCGATTAAATCTGTTTAAAGAAATTTTAATTACTCACGTTTTTGTAATATCGAGGTAAATTGTTTAGCAAGCAATTCCAGAACGATAAAAGTTTCGAAGGTTGAACTGCAAGCAGAAATAGTATTTTTTTAATTTTGGATTTACTGAAATTGCTTAATATAAATAAATGTGAATATTTATACTCACTGCAGATCTTCTCGACCATTGGAATCTGCGTAGAGATGTGGATCGAAGCGAATATACATAACATCAGCAACAATTTCATTTTGAGCTATTTACTTTGCAAATGCTGTAACTAATCTATTTCCTTTGCTATTTTCTCCTCCAAGTTAATCATTTTTGATGGAAAAATCACGTGACTTATATATAGGTTTGATAATTTTTTAAAGTACCGATCGGTATTGCTATAAAATCGTACCACATGTATAACCTTTCTTTCTAATTTAAAAACCCCACCGACAACCTGACGTATTACGATATTAATTAAAAGATGGGATTTTTATTTACTACATTAGGATGTTGGTTAATATTATAATTTGTATATTTTAATAGATTCTAAGATTTTTGAAGTAATTTACTTGTTTTTATCTCGAAAATAATAAGTTAAACATGCAATCATGATTAAGAAATAATAATTTTCACTTGTTTAAGTTTTATCGCTTATGAAATAGTTTTTATATTCTCCTTGTCTGTCTGTTGTCTGTCCGTTTTCTCGTCTATTCACGAAAATTTTTGTATTAATTGTAGCCTTAAATTTAGTGTAATAAATTTATTTTTAATTAATTATTATATGTTTAATCATGATTTATAAAAAATAATGATGAACGAATAAAGGGAATATTTAAAACCAACGTTTTGAAGTCCGAACAAATAAATTTTAATTTTCTTTTGGTATATATATCGATGGTGAAAGCGTAAACTCCTGCAATCCCCCTTGGATCTGTCATGAAGCTAATTCTATAGGAGTTTTCTAAATAGGCATACAGTGTAAGAATCTTGTTAAGTAGCACAAATAAGGAGCATGCTATAGAAATGTCAACAAAATTTTATATATTTATGATTAAAATTAATTGAAAATTGTTTCTAATAAGCATTAAAAATTTTTTAGCAACATCAACGAGACGAAAGCATAATTCAACTTTCTCATTTCTATCCTATTTGAATATGTACTGTAACTACATGTTGAAACTAATGAAAAATTTCGATTAAAAATATCCAATTTTTTCTGTTACATTTAATTCCGATCCTAATTACTTAAATAATTTAGACATTTTCAATTCAGAAAGGAAATCATTATTATTTCCTTCCTTTGAGCATTGATTTCTTATCAGAATTTCCTACCTAATTGATAAAAGTTTTTTGAACTGCTGGTTTAAAATTTATGGACAAGGAGTTTTCACAGAGTAATATTTATATGCAGCAACCGACAATCATGCAACAGGCAATAACAGCATTGATGCTGTTAATTTTGGTGGTTAAAGGTCGAGGAGGGGAGATAAAGGAGGTCGTATTATCTCCAGTAGGGTCAGACTTAATGACGATTTTACTCGTTATTAATATTTATTATTATTATTCTTATATAAAACTCATCCCAACTCTCAAAATTAATTTTTTTGCCATTTTAAAAAAATATAAAATATTATAACAAAATCTCATAAAAGATGGCGCCACACACAATTTTATTAAGTTAACTTATATAATTTTAATTACAATATATTTTCTAAATAAGATCTTATAATAGCCGGAAAAGTTATGCAACTCGTTGCTGAATTTTTCTAACGTATTAGTCGTTTCTACTAAATATAACATTATAAATAACGAGCAGTTATTTATTGCGATATCGTTACAATACCGGGATGCAACTTTTAAAACCTAAGTTCATTACGGATTTTGGTTGGTCCACAATGGTTGGTGAGAGATGGGCCTGACTTATCCAGAAGATCAACCTCCCGAAATATTTGAGATTTTTCGAACCCGGATCTCAAAGAGCAGCGAGCTTTTGCCCGAGCCACTCGGTTGAACCGTCGAGCTCAATTTTCAAAAATTGTAGATCTATAAATTTCCACTTGCGTCCATTTGTCCGTCTGTCCTTCCTTAACCTTGCGAACAAAATGATACAGATGAAAGCCAAACCGGATATGAAACGCTTAACAGCAGAAGGCGCCGATTTACTGTATATGAACTTCCTGTTTGGACCGGTAGTTATGTTATTCCAATTTTAAAATTTTTCTCATGAACGGAGTTAGATGAACGACATAACTCTATTGTTAACAGGAAAATTTGGTGTACTGTACAGGGGCAAGATTACTAAAGTTACAATGTCACAATAAATAATAGCTCATCATTTTTATGTACTGTATAATGTTAAACATATTTTAAAACTTAATTTTTATCAAAATTATTTATTGTGACATCGTCAAAATGCCGGCCTACAATTTTTAATCATTTTTTAAAATTTATTTCATTTAAAATAAATGCTCTCTACCTCAAATTAGAACTGTAGTGTCTTGCCCCTGTACGTTATACTTTTCCCGTAAGCAATAGAGTCATGCCGATCTAGTAACTGCTTCCAGTTTTGAATTGAAATAACGTGACTTCCAGTATGCATCGGAAGTTCTTATATAGTTAATTGGGTCTCCTGCCCCTAAGGTTTCCACATCTGATCTCGTCTTTCATCTATGCAACTCCGTTCTCGAAATTAAGGAAGGACAGACTACAACGGGAATTTATAGGTCTACATTTTTTTTTTTTTTTCAAATTGCAGCCCGATTAATGTGAAACTAGTATACTTGAGTTTTCCTAAACGTTTTCCAGTAATATAGTGTTATAGAAATTAAAACAAAGGCAGTTTTTTTAACTCTAACCGCAGCTTGCCCAGAAAGATAAAGATTTGGCCTCTATTGCAGATAATAATAAACTATGCATCAAGGTTGCTTGTTGTTCTCTATTATATGTGTTTGGTTAGCACATTTTTCATTTTAGCACCCACACTAAACAATAAAATCAAAAATTCCTTAAAAATCAATGAACAAAGTAATAGTAACACAGACATTTTACTTAATAACAATCTAGTCTACAGCTTTGCTTGTACTTGTCATCCTAAATTCTATTACATAGGTGAAACCAGTAGAGTACTAAAAACCCGGATAAATGAACATATTAGAGCCATAAAATATAATTACATCAACTCTGCAGTTGCCACTCATTGCAACCAAACTGGCTGCGAGATCTCACCCGACAGCATCAAAATACTTAAAAGGGAAAAGAACATTTTTAAAAGGAAATTCTACGAACATATTGAAATTATTAAAACTAAAGAAACACACAGAATGAACTTAAATACTGGAACTGTCATAAATGACATCTGGCAGCCTTTCCTAAGATGCAAAGCCCATTAAGTTGTCCTACCATCCTCCCACCTTAACCCCCACTGTGCAATTCCCACCAACCACTGTATATGTTACAAGGATCACTCACTTCTTTGTAACATCTCCCATCAGGCCTGTTCTCTACACATCTCTTCTGTATTATGTCACATCCTACAGGTATTTCGTTATTTTTTCATAAATTACATCTTTTTAATATATACTTTTTTAGTTTTGTGCATACCACTTTTTAATTTAACACGCATTATACTATCCTCAAGTGCCTGTATATTGATCCGATAGCACTATTTGCTCATTCCTCCCCTTTTGTTTAAATATGTGTATATATATCTTATGTGTAATACCAGCTTAATGGTCACTATCTCAGGTAATTGTATTTTATCATATAAATCACTGTACGCGTATACTAATTATTTAAATGAATTCTGTAAATTTTGATACCTGTAACCAATTTGATAATTATGTAATAATAATAGGTCTGAAGAGGGGCATTAAGCCCGAAATGCATATCCATCCAAGCCAATAAAGCAACCTTTTTCCTCTTAAAGTGTTCCTGTATGATATGTTCTCAACAGCAACATTGTGCTAACCAAACACATAAACTATGCATTTTATATTTAGGAGGCCATTTCCGTTGTACGCCGACAATGAAATCGATGTAACTTACTTTTCTGCGGTGGTTGCTAAATGAAGAAAAGTTGGCGGTGGTGTACAGTCTCTAGCCTGTCACTTTTATATTACATTCGCACAGAATCTACGACTCACTTCGATCTCGATTTACCTACAATCTGGATTGTGACTGTCGCCAGTCGAACGTCGTGCTGTTCGCACAGGCAATCCGCTCGAGAAGAACCCGGCTATTATACGCGACGATAAAACTGACATAACTACGCGATAAATCACGAACACCAACAAACAAAATGGAAGTTTTGGTTAGAAATAAATACAGTACTTTTTCTTGCCATATATCTAATAACAGACATATGTCATCGTCTCTCCAAATACAGTATCTTTTTTATTTCTGTCGATAGCACGACATGTGTTCCGCGGCCATCTTGTATTTACTCGCGCGCGTTGGATTGTGAAATCTCTATTGTGACTGGATCTAGTTTCAAGAACTCTCTTGAGTCGATCGCGATTGAACCTCGTTTCAATCTCGATCGACTCGATCGATTTTTTGCCAATAGATAGCGTTACATGTAAATTCAACTAAACCAATATAAACAGAAATTGATTGCTATATAAAAACCAATCAATATTTTAATGTATGGCAATATTTAAGTTAGAAGAATGTTAACATAACTGCCGAGTTTCGTAGGGATTAGTGAAACGGCCTAGCAGTATATATAGCAAACAAATAAACAAACATTTTCATTTATAGATATAGATTTGATTGTATTCTGACATTAAAATGTTCCTACTCTCATGATTTTCTGATGTTTGTTCCATATTTCCAGTGAGAATAAACTGTATTTAGTAATTTTTCTGGAGCATTAATACATGAAAGACATCCACTGTACACGAGGTGTTTAAAAAGAGGGTAAGGGAAAAAAGAGGGAAAGAAAATGAAAGAGGAGATAGACAGTAGAGAAATGTAGGATCCCTGTGAATGGCATACGTATGACTACTGTACCTCTATATTTGACATTGGTGTGCAGTTTTTAGGTTGCAAGGCCGTAGTTACCCAAGGGTCTAAAAGAAAACCTGAGTGTAGCGAACACCAATAATTGAGTGCCGCCACGAATAGCTAAGTGTTGAAGTTAGTGCCAAGTGGCTATTAGTAGGTAGGCTTTTATCTACTTAATAAAACTACTTATTAGTTAGACAGACAGCGCGGAAAACAAACGAACACAACTACAAATTAGACGAGGCGAATGAACCAAGGAACTGCTGAGGACTGCTGATGGTGTGAACGGCGAAAAGAAAGGACAAAATGCAAAGTTTTATCTTTATAAAATAGAATTTATATTTATAGAAGAATTTTGGATTGTAAATTTTCATTTCT